AGCCTGCTTTACGTTCCCCTCCTCGCTCGCCCCACTATTGGCGAGCGGGCCTTCTGCCACTCTGCCCCCACCCTCTGGAACTCTACCCCGGAGTCCCTCCGCCTCACACCCTCCCTTGCCTCCTTCAATCTCAAGACCCACCTCTTTGACCGTGCTTTTGGTCTCCCTGCTTCCCCCCACACTTCACCCTCCCCGATCCCGTCTCCCAGCTCGGGTCGAAACTCTGTCCAGCACCTTGGGACGTCCTGCCAACGTGAAAGGCGCTATACAAATGCGCATTCCATTAAATATCTGGGAAATTTCCATGTATAGATGGGATGCATTGAAATCAGTTTGATTTGCATACATGCATGGTGATGGGTTTCAATGTATGTCAAGATACCTGGCTAACCCCCAAAAATACCAGTTAGTATCCAAAATGTTGAATATCCAGTATGAAAACTAAACATTAGACATTCTGCGCTCCATGCAGAAAATTCCAGTCAATTTATTCTGCCTAACTGCAAGTAATGGTAATTAACTGCAAGATCTGAGCAATTTGTAATTTGGAGGTGTTAAGGTTACCAACTTACTGGCAAATTGTGTCTGTGTATTTTTTGGGGGGGGGTGTGGGGGGCAATATATAGAATAGGAGAAAGGTTTACTTTTGCCAAAATTTGTTTTGCTCTATTAATGAACATGATAATCTCAAAGTAGCTATAATACAAAATTCTGTTTTAAAACTATTTGTTTTACTACTCTGAAGGTGATCAGTTGAAAACAATAAAAATGAAGGGTGGAGAAGAATTGTACTGAATTTAAAAATAAAAATTAGAAAATTGTCAGGAGTATGTCTTCAGATCTCAACCCCAGCTGTTTTTTTAAAAGGCCTATTTCCTCCAGAGAAGTTTCATGCTAAATTTGCAACCACTGCACAACTGGGGGAAAAAAAGCTTTGCTTCTGTTTCTAGAACTTTTTTTTCCATTCAATCACTGTACAATGGCCAATTGCAGTCACTGAACTATCAATATGAAGGCCTGGGAACCAACATTTTGGGCTATATTTGAGGGGCCTAGTAAGGGTTGCTGTTACAATTCAAAAATTTGTTCAGAACTTTCATCATATTAAGGCATATAATTTAAATAAGCAGGATCTCATGCTAGCGGTAGCGTAAATATCTTTTAGAAGATGGACCATGGTATTTGTAAAATGGTATTACAAGCTGCTGTCACTGGACTTTTCTAATCAAATAGGTTTATTTGTACAATGGAGCAATTAAATAAACCCAGATGTAGTACACAGAGAATAATGAACTATGGACGAGGAAAGAAAGATTCAAAATTAAAAGCTTCAGCTTATTCAAAGCATGGAATTTTAAGTGTACAGTTTCTTGAAAGTGGATCAAAATGCAGGACTCATTCTATTTATGTCTCAAGTTTAGGAGCCACGTGAATTTTTTCCTAAAGATACAAACTGATGAATGGTTCTTTTACATCAGGCATTTGCTTGTGGAGTGCTATCCACTGAGCCTGGCTAGTTTAATCATGCTGTAAATTTTGCATTGCTGTGGCAGGAGTTGGTTTGATGGGGAGAATGTCTCAGTTGGTAGAAATCCAGTCACTGAGTCAGAACCTTGTGGGTTCAAGCCCCACGTTTGGACTTTGAATTCACGATCTAGGCTGTCACTCCAATGCAATGCTTGGGAAGTATTACATTGTTGGAGGAGCTGTCTTTTGGGTGAAACATTAAACCGAGGTCCTGTCTTCCTGTTCAGGTGGTTGTTAAAGATCCTATGGTACTATTTGAAAAGAGGAGAGAGTTTCTCCTATTGTTTGGTCAACAGTCCCACAGATAAAGTTGGTCATTCACTTCAAAGCTTTCGGGATATTACCGCATACAAATTGGCTGCATGTTCCCCTACAAAATACAGTCACTACACTTTACAATATATCTTGTGATGAGCTTTGAGATGTCATCCTAACTTGAAAGGTGCTTCAGAGGATGATTATTATTATATAAGTAAGCAAATATAAGAAGCAAATGTTGGCCTTTTCAATACAATACAGTAAAGTACACTCTTGGCAGTTGACCTGCTGATTATATTGGTTTGGCAACCACCAAATGATGAGACTGCATTATTGTGGATTCTAGGCTTTCTCCAGTTGCTCCCTGGAAGCAGTATTCAAAATGAATTAATTCCTGGTTTCAGAAGTACCCAGCTTGACTGATTAGGAATAATTGGAGGCTACAATTCCAGTTTTGTTGGAGGTAATGAATTCAGTTTAATGGTCCACTGGAGGGATATCATTACTTAGTTGGGAGACTGAAAAGCATTGCTACCATTAGCATTTTTAAGATGGGCAAATTGTGGTGACCATCCAATTGTTTCATCCAGGAAACACCATTCTTAGCTATTTTAGCAACTGAAGGGAACAATTTGTTTGTTTGGGAACCGAAGAGTAGGCTCTGGTCTAACAGACCAGGGCGTGATTTTATTTAGTATTATCTCTCCCCAAATCAGTGCTTTACAATTTCTTACTCTTAATCCTACTGATTTATAAATTTACAGTACAATGCAAATTCACATTTCTGCTTGTCAAGACAACAGACCAAGAAAATCTCAAAGGAGTTCAAAATATCACTTCAAGTCAAGCAATAAAACTACAGCTTAAAGAATTTTCAACAACATTAAAATGACTACTTCCAATTACCTTCAGAAGGTGCTGATATTTTATTACATAGTAAAGATTGTCCCCTAAATAGCTGTAGTTTGGTCTTATACAATTTTTGTTCACAAAATGTTTCAGTAATTGGTGCATCAATGCCTTATCTATTATTGGGGGGATTGTTTGTCACTGTCTGCTGCGGCAGGAGCTGGTGGTTGTTTGCTAAAGACGTGGTAGGTAAGAGCCGCGCTCGCCTTCCTGACAGACTGCAATAAAGGGTCTGGGTGCTGAGCCTCCCAACCACCAGCTCCTGCTGCTACCCTGGGAAAACATTCACCAGGGAGGGAGGGAAGTTAGAATGATGGAAATGATCGCGGGCCGCATAAAATCACCCGCCCGGCTGTCACCTGGACCACGCTTATGTATACATTTGAATTCCCTTTTTAAATAGATTTCAAAACATCCATTAATTAACTCCTTTGATACTCAGTTTGTGAGCTTTGCTGATCTTTCTGATTCTTTGAGGGTCAGTTGCATCTTTGCTTAGTTTCATTCATTTTTATGTGTTCTTTGATATTTGAGATACAAGGACACCTTGTTTTTATTAATGCTCTGCCTCATTCTAATGATATTTGCTGTAGATAGTCTGTATAGAGAGTTTGTGTTAAAATTAATCGCTTTGCTTTTAAGCGGTCCAGGGACTAAAAGTATAATTCCAAGTGTACTGCCCTGAAATACAGTCTGACATGGGTGAATGTTGCAACAAAATTATTGGGAGGAGGTATAGAGAGATGCATTGAAAAGGGTTACATGGGCCCTAGAGCGGAAACCCAGTGATACATTGGAAGGGGAGGAGTTTAAAAAATGCGTAAAAGGAGGGCTCATTAAACTCTGGGTCGCTCTTCATCTTTAGTGTCATCAAGGAGGTACATGCCTGACCTGGGAGGTTACCACCAGGTCAAGATTGTTTTTCTTTGTCTACTAACTTTAGATAACGCTGCTAGTGTCATAGTTATGGTGTCAGGGTTTTTCTATTTCTTAACCTTGCAACTGTTTATTGTATTATTGGACAGTATATATGAGGCATAGGTTTGTTAGGTCCAACAAAATACTGTTATGTTTTCTAAAAAGTGCTTCTCGAGTCTCTTAAATTCTGGAGAACAAGCAGATTAATGCGGAAGTCAGTTGTCTGGCAATGCGAAGGACACTGATTGATGCATCTCATTGTTACGCTGTAAGGCATTGATTGGGACGTTGTGTTGATTCTCGTATAGTGAAATTTCACATAGAGAGGGAACTTGCATGTCACAGAGAAGCCACTTAGTACGCCGTGCGCTTTACAACTGTGAAATTGTAATGAAATTGTAGTGAAATTGTAGAAAAATCTTTTATACCCAGAAATAATTTTATGTCTTTTTAAATCAAACATTAGCTGAAACATTAAAAAAAACAAGTTTGGGAAAACTCAGACTTGGCAATGCCAACTGCATCCTTATCTGGCTGGACATTCCATAGAAGCAGAGAAGCAGTAACAAGCAGTAACTTCTGCAACTTTGAAATGAATAAGACATTGTCTGACACAAACACCATCTGGAGATAAGCTTATGCCTCTAACGTCCCTGAATCCTCCCCTAACCTGAGCTCCCTTCCCTCATTATTTCTTACTCTGTGCAAGAGTTCATTCTTTTGACTGTCTTAGAGACTGTTGACTGCTCTTGAATCACCTCTTGCAATTGCAATAAATCTTACTTTGGATATATCCACGGTGTATGGTCTGTTTGTAAGACGATGGTTGGGACGAACGGGGAAAAAGTTACAACTCAACACAACAACAACAAGATTTCATTTATAGAGCGCCTTTCACGTCGGGAGGACGTCCCAAGGCGCTGGTCAGTTGGGTCTGGACCCGAGCAGTGGGGAAATGGTCAGGGTGAGGGGAGGGAAGGGAGGGAGCGAGGAGGGGTAGAGAGTCGAGAGGGGAGCTGAAGGTACACATTTAGGGGTGAGAACCTTTGCAGAACCAAATTAATCATTTATAAGATTAAAAGTAGCAGTTTTTCAATTCATGGATCTGAATTGAAATAGTCTGAATTTATTATCTGAGCAAGCTGACTGAATACATTTCCTTATTTTAGTACTAATAATCTATTTAAACTTGGAAGCTGCTTCTGGACTTTAGAGAAAAATGTACTTGTATATTTTAAATGTTTATTGAATACCCCATTCAGTGTACCATTGTTAACTGTATTACATATAACCCAAGACCCTTAAAATAGCTGAAAGTTAATTGTCTAACAATTGAGATTGAATTTAAGAACTTGACTTTTAAAGTAAAAAATTGTTTTATTTTGCAGGCTTTGGCCGAAAGGATGTTGTGGAACATCTCTTACAAAATGGTGCAAATGTTCATGCACGTGATGATGGAGGATTAATTCCACTGCACAATGCTTGCTCATTTGGACACGCCGAGGTGGTCAGTTTGTTGCTGTGTCATGGGGCAGATTCAAATGCCAGGGATAATTGGAATTATACTCCTCTCCACGAGGCAGCAATCAAAGGAAAGATTGATGTTTGCATTGGTAAGTAACTTACATTGTTTGAAAAATTCCTAACAAGAATTCAGACCGAAGATATTTTTGAGCAGTAGTCAAGCAGAGTGATATTTCAGAATTCAGAGATTGAAACTTTAGGGAAAATATCTTAGAGAAACCATGTTCTCCCATTATAAATATTCTTACTTGGTAGCAGATCTCTAAATCAGATGTCTGCCTGCCTAAAGAGCAAGTGAATTTGATGGTCAAGCTGTACTAGCTGGGTGCACAGCACTGTTAAACTTTTTATGCCTTTGGTTTGGGCTTCAGGATGGCACAAAATGCTGTCTCCTATGCAGATAAAATTAAACCACTATGACACAGCTCGCATTGAGTGTTGTGAATAGACAGACACCCAATCTCCTGGTGTACTTGGTACTTTCTAGCTGGGCCCAATGGATTAAGAGTGTGAGCAAGGACTCTACTGCGTTGCTTGTAATGCCTAATTAAGATAACCATAGTTTAGTGTGAACTTTTTATAATTGCAACTGGATACAGTTCATGCTATTTGGGACCAGCATGGATAAATAGTGTGGATAATTGGCCATCACACACTACAAATTGGCTTTTAAAAAAAGTTTAATCATTACTAGTATCCCACACTGTGCCAGGCCTTATTTTGCTCTGTCTCTTTCTTTCCCTTTTTCTCTTTTGGATCATCTGTCTTTATGACTATGTGTGCATGTGCATGCATCTGTGCATCTACCTGCTTGTTTCTTGAGTCACTCTTTGTGTCTCAGTCTCTGAGAGTCTTTCGAAATTCCTATCTCGTTATCTCCACAATATCTCTATCTCTAACCCAAAACAACACTATTAAAAATTCTGAAGCCTCATCTTCTTGACTGGTAAGAAAACCACGTTTGCTGGTTATATGTAAAGTTGGGTACAAGTTTGTGATTTTGTTGAGAGTAATGTTGAGTTTGAGCCGGCAATCTTACAACACTTTACAATCCTACAATACTTTTGCTGGATATGCAGACCACAACTTATGGAAGCCTGGTGTTCTGTTCACTCTGGTTTATCACATTCCTGTTGGTTCACAGCATATTGCAACATGTTATGTTGAAGCTCCTACCCCAAAATTTTAAAACGTTGCTTCTTGCTTTATCATAGCTACCTATATGCATGCCGACTTTCTATATCAGGCTGTGATGAGGAGTAAAGTCAAACTCAATGTAAAAAAATATATAGTTTAGTTGCGCTCGCTCCATCAAAATCACATCATTGGAATTTAATGGCGTGGAAACCAACAGCACAAGGTTGAGAGGTCTGATCAGGCAGATAAGTACAAGAGATAAGTACACACACACTTGTTTTTTTTTCTGTACTGGCTTATGTTATTCACAGCAAATGAGGAACAATATTACCTAATTTTTTTTGGTTTCCATTTTTAATTATTGGGTTTAATTTAACCGTAAAACATAAAAGCCACCCACAACTATGTTCTTTGCACTCTTTGAAACTACTTGGAGCATCCTGGTTTTATTTGTTGCATAATAATAATCCTTGCATTTCATATAGCGTTTTTCACGTCTTCTAGACGTCTCAAAGCGCTTCACAGAATATGCTGTAAGTGAATTGACCGTATATTTGTGAGTGAAACGCCGCAGCCAATTGCACACAGCAGTGTCCCACAAACAGTCGTGGATCGAAAATGACCAATTTATTATTGTTTTGGAGGGATTATTATCAGGCGTGTGGAGTAAGGAAACTTGCCCAAGGTTTTGCCCTGCCTGGAATTGAATCCAGGTGTCTCGCTTGCAAGGCGAGTGCTCTAACCACTGAGCCACAGGACTCCACATCAACTATTGTGGACTTCCAAAATAATTGAGTGGAATAATGGAGAGAACATTATTCTAGGTGGTAAGGTAGCACTGATGCTGATTTTATTTTACCACTTTCAATTTGGAAACTGTATCTGGAGGCAAATGCTAATATAAAAATGATGAATTTCCAGACTCCAAATTGGGCTCTGAGTCAGATCAGCTGTTGAACTTCAAAGGGTCTGGAAGATATGCTGTTGACTTTTGCAGGCTTTTTTTTGTAACCCTCAATCTGATCTCTGGTTTTAAAAAAAAGTAATCTGTATCTTGTTTGCTTGAAGAAAGTGGACAACTTGGTCATTTGATGCTCATCTGATTTGTCATATTTTTCTCCCAGGTGTTCTCAGTCTGTTAGAGTGATGATGAATAGAGGTTGGACATGTATGTGCTAAATGTATTGAAATGTTTGTAGGAGCAACTTGATGGTGAAGTATATTTGGAGGAGATACAGGACAACCTCATAATGTGGTTCCCTGGGTACATTTTCTCAGAGCTGCATTATGAGTGAAGTGCGACAGTATGTCTGACTTCCAGGACATCAGGTGGTTGCTAATATCACTTCCTGCATACTGGAAAAATGGTGCCACTGATCACTTCCTTTGTGACATGATACCAATGACAAGGAGATGGTGTCAGCCAAGCTTTAGTGCGTGAAGGTGGCTTGTCAGCGCAGAAACAATAACAACAAAATTACGTTTATAGAGCGCCTTTCACATCGGGAGGACGTCGCAAAGCGCTGGGTGCACTTGTCTACAGTATGCCAAGCAGCGCTTTAAAAGATGCTTGTTAGTTTCAAAATCTATGTTTGACACTATTGAGCTCCACATTTAGCCTTTAAACACTGGATCTGCTAGCAATTTAAATCTATTGTCTATTTGCACAGCTGCACAGTGATTCATTGTTGTCACCTAAAGGTTCAATGATTTGATATGTTTGTTGGACCTAAATAAAACTGAATTACTAAACCTTTGGAAATTCAAGATGCCGTATGTGATTGACTGAACGTTCAATGGCTTTACATGAAGCACTAATTTAAATCCCTCGAGTGCTTTGTAACTAATTCACTCATGACTGAAAATCGTTTCTTGGGGGAAGACATTTACTGGCTTGTTTTTTAGAGTGCTTTGCTTGCTGAGAAGATTATGTAGTGCAGCTTATGCTTTGGGGGAAACTGGTAGGAGTCTTGCTATTTAAAAAAATATTGTTAAAAAGGTTTAAATGAACATCCTTCTAGATACTAACAAAAATATATCACAATAGTGTTTGTTCAGAACAAGGGGAGTAGTTTGAAACTTTCAGCGCCTTGGGACGTCCTCCCGACGTGAAAGGCGCTCTATAAATTTAATTTTGTTGTTGTTGTAGTTTGTAATTGAGCCCATCAATGTGAGGGTTTACAGTAGTTTGAATTCACTATATGCACAGCACAACCATTCTGAGTTAACGATAGTGTGGACTGGTATTGGTTTCAACTCCTTTACATTTCTATAGTCTAACCAATCCAAATGAATACTGCCTACCATTAAGATTCACTTTTAATAGATTTGCATCATAGAGTCATAGAATTATACAGCACTGAAGGAGGCCATTCAGCCCATCGTGTCTGTGCCAGCTCTTTGAAAAGAGCTATCCAAATCAATCTCATTCCCAGCTTTCTCCCCATAGCCCTGCAAACCCAAATAATTATCAACTCTCTTAAAAGTTGTTATCGAATCGGTTTCCACCACCCTTTCAGGCAATGCATTCCAGATCCGAACAACTCGCTGTGTGAAACAATTTCTCCTCACTGTTTCTTTTAACAACTATTTTAAATCGGTGTCCTCGGGTTACCGACCCACCCACCAGAGGAAATAGTTTCTCCTTGTTCACCCTATTGAATCCCCTCATAATTTTAAAAAGTTCTATTAAGTCTCCTCTTAACCTTCTCTACTCCAAGGAGAATAATCCCACCTTCTGTAGCCTCTCCTGATAACTGAAGTCCTTCCCCATCACATCATTAAACCACCTAAAGCTGTTGTGCAACATTACCTCAGGGTTATGGAATCTGTTTTAGTTTATGTTGCAGAGAACATTCATTGGTAAACAGTAATGAAGGAAGTATGATTATGCAGGTTTTTATAAGTGCATGCTTGAAATTGCCATTTGTGTCTTTTTTGCTTGTGGATACCATATGTTTCCCACTAGCCGGATAAGATAAGATTTTGACCTTTACAAGTGTGCTGTCTGCTTGCTTAACATACTGGTGGCCAAAAGTGTTTGATGCTGAAACTCAATGTTACTTTTTAGCTCTTAGACATCCAAGCATCTCCTCTGAGCCAAATGATCACACTTAGATTGGACTGTTACATTAAAATTTAGGCACATGGGAATGTGTAAGTCCAGAAACAATAATTGTGGTCCTGTCCTAAAATGTGAAATATACAGTATGATAGTCTTACTATTCCCCATCTTTATTAACTCATCTGTTATGTATTAAATCCAAACTGTCTGGTTTGGGTAGATAAATTGTTTGAGATACTTGATATGTATACCTTTTCTACATTCTATTTTTATGAACAGAGCAAAGAATAGACGAGACATTCATATAAAATACAGCTCTCCTTAAATCTAGCTTGAAGAACTGATTTTCCTCTACTATTGGTCAAACATTTGGGCAAATGAATAGTGAGAATATCAGTTTGCTGATTTAAGTGGCTCTGGCAAAAAAATAGTAGTAGTACTTTGAGTTAATACAATAATAATCCTTGTATTTGATATAGCGCCTTATCATGTCTTCTAGATGTCTCAATGCGCTTCACAGAATATACTGTGAAGTGAATTGACTGCATATGTTGTGGGTGAAACATGGCAGTCAATTGCACACAGCAGAGTCCCCCAAACAGTCGTGGAATGAGTGACCAAATTATTATTTTTTTTGAAGGGATTATTATCCCCGGAAAAGCGATCCGCCAATTGACTAACAACTGGGCTCCTACTTACTGCTGGGTAAACAGGCGTGTGGAGTAAGGAAACTTACAAAGAGACAAAGGAAGGAGCGTCAGTCTGCTGCGACTGCATCACAAACTGGGTCATCTTCATCTGTCCCACTTGTAGTAAAACTTGTCTCTTTAGGATTGGTCTGCAAAGCCACCTAATTGCCCACCAAAGACTATGCCAATCATAAAACTCAAATTCCCTTTTTTAAAAAGCGGAGGAACAATCTTATTAGATTTTCGAGGGATTGCCTATTATTGCTCCAAAGTAAAGAGTTACTTTTCTCTTTCTCCGTTTTTTCTCGGAATGTCAGAATTGAGCCAACCCTCTGTGGCGGTCTCAGTAATCCGGTTCCTGAGCCAACCGGATCGGCAGTACTTCATGGCACTGCTGATAACAGCGCAGCCAGCCTGGCTCATCAGCAGGACTTGGAAGGGCAGACCAGTCACTGGGAGCAGGGAGTCCTTTTAACTCTGCAAGCCAAAGCCCTAATGGTTTGGGTGGTCCTAGCTGGACAAGCAATGGAAAAGCTTGCCAGACAGCAAGATCAGCAGCAAGTTATATTGGTTTAGCTGCTTAGACTCCCAACAGCACCTCAACGCACACTCTGGAGACCCCAAGCCTTGGCTCTTGCCAGCTTGTGCCTAATACTTTGCAGAATTATGTAAGCAGGATGCGTCCCTCCAAGGAGAGAGTGCACATTCCATTCCAACAATCTTATCTCTGGGATTTCCAGGCATAGGTGGAATGCATGGAAATCTCAGGCTTGGTTTGACCCGGCTGACCAAAATAAATAAAATAAATTAAAGAAAATATATATATAAAACCTGTTATCTTCATTAATTGAGGCCATTGTGCATATAAAGTCATCAAGTAATATTCACTAACCAAAATTTTCATTAGGAATTATTGTTACGATAGTACCTCTCTCTCTCCCAAAACAAAAAACAATAATAAATTGGTCATTATTATATTATATATCACTCCCTCTCTGCACCTCTGACTATCGCTCGCTCTCTCTCTCTCTCTCTCTCTCTCTCTCTCTCACACACACACTTGCTGACCCCTCTTGCTGACTTTCTAACTCGCTACCCCTAGATTCACTGACTCACTCCTTGATGAATATCTTTGACTCTCTCCCTTCCCATATTTATAACCCTATCAATGTACTTGTAAAAAATTGCTCAGTGAACACTTACTTCACATTGCTTGCTAACAGTTCTACTGGTCTGCTTAAGTCATGTGCCTGTTAATCATGGAACGGTTTTGCTGCCATTGCACTTTGAATCAGAGCTGAATTTGATTAAATTAACACACAGATGCATGATGTTTTACTTTTTTCATTTGAGGAAAAGTTTGTAAGATTAGAAAACCTACACATCAGTTATTGATGCCATCAACATTCAATATAATGTTTGAGATCCTATAGGGTTTGATTTGCTGAACTGTTAATTCAATTTTCATACAAAACCTTGCTTCCAAAACAGTATTTCTCTCTGTGTTTCTCTCACTCGCCCTGAATACCTCTTTTTTCTCATTTGGACTAGTCCTGACTTTCTTTCTCACTCACCCCCTGATTCACTTGATTGAGTGCTTACTCTTCTTTTTCATTTGCACTTATTCATTCTCAATCAATTATCAACATGTATATCAATTATACAAATAATGCGATACAGCCAATGTGCTTGGATGTTTGTTTAAATGTATAAATATGTTGAATGAAATGGAAGATTTGAGCCTTTTGGAATGTTGTTGTGAAGATGGAACATTTTTTCAGTACAAGGTAGCATAACGAAGGTATAATGAACATAGCAAAAATGAGGCCGTTTCACATGACTGTCTCTTGGTGGTTCTGGTATTGCTACCTCTCAATATCACAGTGTGTCCATGGATTTTTTTTTATTTCATCAAGGTCATATCCTGTATGATTGTTGCTTGATTCAGCTTCATAGGCTCTTGCTGTGATGTATTATTATTCATTCACAATACCTAGAAGATTCTCACCATTTAACAGCGTTTGCGACCCTGAAATGATGCACTGCTTCTGTTTTCCATGCACAGTTCTTCTGCAGCATGGAGCTGATCCCAACATTCGGAATACAGATGGGAAGACTGCTCAAGACTTAGCTGATCCTTCTGCAAAAGCTGTGCTTACAGGTAAAACTGGTTTGATGTTAACTATCTTTTTTGCTGAATTATTTATTCTTCTGTCTTTCTCCCTCACAGAAACAACAATTATACTGCTTGATTATATTACTGAATGAAATGTGCAACTATATATCCAATTGGTTATTAATTGCTATGCTGCATTTACATTTCCTTTCCAATTACTAGAGGTAGGCCAGCTTTTCCCACTAGCTGATGACTTGGTAAATTCTAAAGCATTTGTGGTGATGGTTTTAGCAATTGCTGTGACAGGAATCTGCTGCTACTGGATGCAAAATAACTTGCTTTGAGCACTCAGTACCACCTGCTTCCCTGTGCTTTGGAATAAACTGTGAAATGTCATTATAGTTGTTTCAAAAATGGATTATGGATTAGTGATCTCATCAATCATAGAACTGTTGTTAAGGTTGGTTCAATTGACCATGTCAAACAGTACTTTTGAAAACTTTTTGTTATTGTGTTAAACATTGACCTCTGTATAATGTAATTTTCAATGTACAAGCAATTAATGATCTTTGATGGTTTGTAGTGTACAGATTACTAGACATTTACAGCACAGAAGGAGACTTTTTTTTTTGGTCAGCTGGGTGTCCATCACCATGCTTAAGAGTATCCAGACAAACAGAGTTCCATGCATCCCGCCTGTGCATAGAAATTTCAGAGTTTTTTTGGAATGGAATGCACACTCTTTTGTTGGAGGGACGCATCCTGCTTACCTAAATGCAGAAAGTATTAGCTACAGGTTGGCAAGAGCCAAGGCTTGGGAACCCCAGGGTGGACGTTGGGTACTGGATGTACGAAGGTTTGTTCATTAACTTGGTCTCCAGGTAAAGCCTTCCAGCAGCTGTCGCCTTAAACCCGAATTTCCTCATCAGCTATCTGGCGGACATCGGCCTTCAGCGTGGTGGGGGGAATGTTTACACTACAGCTTGTGACATGCCAGCCACCTTGATGTTCTCAATGCTACGTTCTTGGCTTACTCAGCACGAGCTGATTAATCCAGGTCCTCATGTGAGGGGCCTTTGGCGAATAGACGTGTCCACTGTGAAGCTGACTCTGCCTCCAGGATGCTTAGTGACAGGTCAGTGTTGGCCGGAGCCCTCCCTCCCTGCAGTTGCTTCCTATGTTTCCTACAAATTCACCTCACTGCTTGATCCTGAACTTTGCAAATGGACCAGAGGAAACCCCAGGAGCTCAGAACCATAAAGGAGGACTGTTTGCACACTGGTCTTATGTGCCACAAGTATTGAGATCTTGCTGTCCTTGAAGTGCGATGAGTGCCCCTCCCTTCCACAACTTATCATCGTGGTCCTTCAGAATAGTGACCTGGCAAAGGTTGGTGTCTTCCACAACCTTGAGGTGCCGATAAGAATCAACAAGTGGACATTCGACCCATCATTTCTGCAGTTCAAGGTATTAATTCAATCCCACTATCTTAGCCTTATCCCCATACCCCTTCAAGCCTCTATCGTTCACATACATAATGTTATACTTTTTCAGCTGCTTAGAACTTCCATGTTAGTGAGTAACAGTTTCAGGGCACTATTTTCCAAAATAAACTGCTGAGGTTTTGCTCCTCCTGATGGTATCATTGGAGGTCTTGGGACCTGCTGATGTAGGTGGGCATCACAGGCAAGCAGGGCTGGCTCCTTCTGTGGTGAGAATTATTTGAATGGAAGCATACGCTGCCAGGTTAGCATTTCCATCTACTTGAATGGGCCTGTGAAATGGCGAAATACCAGTGTTTGTATTTGAGATTGGGCACGTGCAGGTTTTCTGTTCTAGCTGCTGTGCAATTTACCACATTGTACAAACAGCAATTTCCAGAGCACTAACAACAACAACAAGATTCCATTTATTGAGCGCCTTTCATGTCGGGAGGACGTCCCAAGGCGCTGTAAGCCTTACTAAGTAAGCCTTGAGCATTTCAATGTAATTCTGAGCCATTACACATTTTTTTTGCTGATCTACATATACAAATATATACTCAAATTTTTAATGTACAAGCAATTACAGTTGAATGTGAACAAGACAGGCCCTCCTGATTGGCTCGCGCCAGTGCCTCTGCACCTCAAGCTCTGGCAGCATCAACCTCCATGGTTACACACTACAACTCACCGCCAGTCAGGAACCCAGGTGTCTTGTTTGACCCTCAACTGTCTTTTCTTCCCCACATCCAAGCCATGACCCACTCTGCCTTCCCTCACCTCCGTAACATCGACCGACTCCGCCACTACTTCACCCTCAGGACGCTGAAATTCTTGTTCATGCCTTCATCACTTCCAGGCTTGACTGCGAACATCCTGCTTGTCGGCCTTCCCAACTCCTCCCTCCACAGGCTGCAGATGATCCAGAACTCTGCAGCCCGTGTCCTCTCCCGCACCAAACTCCGTGACCCCATTTCCCCCATTCTCGCCCGACTCCATTGGCTCCCTATCCTTCAGAGGATCCAGTTCAAGATCCTGGTCCTCACCTACAAAGCCCTCCGTGGCCTCTGCGACCTCCTAACCCCCTACCAACCCATCCGTTTCCTCCTTTCAGCCGGCTATGCCTGCTCCACGTCCCCTGATTCATCCGCCTCACCATTGGCAGGAGAGCCTTCAGCCACTCTGCCCCCAAACTCTGGAATTCCATCCCCCATTCACTCCGCCTCGCCCCTTCCTTAGCCTCTTTCAAGTCCCACCTCAAGACCCTCCTCTTCGACCATGCCATCGACCACCCTCCTTCCCTTTCCCTCTCTTCTCCCCCCACCTGACCCCAGCTCGGGTCTGAAATGAGGCACCCTGTCCAGCACTTTGGAACGTTCTCCCGACGTGAAAGATGCTATGCAAATGTAATCTTGTTGTTGTAGGCACGAATATTAATTCAAGCATAATTCTACATTACATTTTTATTTCTAATTTTATTAGTCTGTGACCATTGTTCATCTGGCAGCTTAGGTAGGAAATGTTGGCTGACCACTTGACTGTAGAGGGTGTTGCAGCTGAGTCTGACTTCTTCACACAAACACAGACATGCACATGGCGTGGGCGGGCGTGAGCTGGCAGTCGTGGGTGGGCGCATGCTGGCGGGCATGGGCGGGTGTGCGCTAACACAGACAGACACACACGGAACCAGCTACAGAGCCTCACACCTAGATTAATGCTGCTTTTAACACCTGGCTGGTTTTCCCATTTCAAACCCAAAGCCAATTTAGCCTCCCCATGCACCTCTGGCTGAACCCTCTGGCTGCCTTCATTTCATTTATAATGTGATGCTTTTTGTCTGGAATAGCAACTTAATCTAGTAATAAACATCTGTTAAGTAACTAAATTGATGTCAGTTTGGCTCTATTAGTAGCAATTTTCCCTCTGGATCAAAGAAGATTGATTTCCAACTTCACCAAGATTATACTACAGCTGTTGCATATTGCTTTGAGGCTAAATTGGCAATTGGATATTGACAATGAGAAGCGAGCAGGAAGCATTGAAAGGATTGTGGGAAAGTGACTGGGGGACAGAGTGTTGGAGAGAGTGGAAGTGTAAGGATGAAATGAAGTATTGAACCTAAACTGAGTTGTGGATTGATAAGCTCCACAGGCTTGATATATGGGGCAAAACGTGAAGCGTTGCCTCTGCTGCTTTTCCACAACCTCCAAAATTCTAGAGACACCTTTAAAAAAATATTTTTGTCTCAATTTTTTTCTTGCATTCTCTGCTGCTCAAATAATGGAGGCCCAGAGATGTGCCTGAAGATCTGGTACTTTTCTTCCTGGTGTTTTTCACACTTCTCTCATTAGCAGAGGTAACAAAGAATTCCCAAATTGCGAACCCTGCGCAGGTGGTCATCAAGACATCTGCGCATGTGCATGCCAGTCCATCCTGGTAGATTTTCACAACTCAGGTTTCCTTTGTGTGGAGACAACAGATGAGCTGGCTCCAAGTCAAGGAAAAGTCTATTTTGGTACTACTAGTTGCTTCCTAAGTCGTGGGACAAATTCATAATCTTAAATGTGAATGTAAAAAAGATTATGGAGAGTGAAAGAATGAATGAAAAGATAATGATAGGAGACTAAGGGATAGGTGTGTGTAATTGAATAAGGGGCAAGACCGTGACAAAAATGTGAATGGGTGAGTATGAGAGACAAAACACAAAGTTTGTGAGATTCAATCAGACATACGGAAGTAAAAGGCAGACAAAGGGAAATTAACTCAGTTCTAGGGAAAGGGGGAAATAAGTGCCATTGAATGTGACCGCGCACTTCCATACTCCCTGCTTAGTGTCCAGCACTCTCTTTACAAAACTCTGTGCCACTGTACGTGAAGGGAGTTTCAGAAATTGCAGTTGTTCAGATGGAAAAGACCAAGTAAATATGACAAATCGTGAGGGAAAACATTCAGAGACTGACAGACAAGAAAGAGGCTGTCAGTTACGCTCACCAAGCCAGTGACAGAACAAACCCACAGGTAGAGTGGATCGGGTTGGAGAGGAAGTCAGAAATGGGTAATGATGGAGAGTAAACCACAAAGGAAGTTGGTGACGATCGGAGACTCATTCCTGAAGTATACCTATGATTGCAATCAACAGATTGTTAATGGATAGGGCCTCCTCCCTACTGTCCATCCTGGGTGGGGCCAATTTACTGTTTAAACAATATTTGTCACGTGACAGCCCAGCTTCTCTCTGGATCTCACCCCAAGGCCCCACTGTTGAGATTGTTTGTGTGTGTCTCTCCTGTGTGTGTGTGTATATGTGTCTTCTCTGTCTGTGAGTGTGTCGCTGAGTCTGCGTTTCTCTCTGTCTGAGTGTCTCTGTGCCTGTGAGTATCTCTCGTGTGTCAGTGATTGTGTGTGTCTCTCTCTGTGTCCGTGAGTGTGTCTCTCTGTGAGTGTGTTTCTCTGTGAATGTGTCTCTCTGTGTCTGAATGTTTGTGTCTCTCTCTGAATCTGAGTATGCCTAGCTTTGTGTGTGTGTGTCAGAGTGTATCTCTCTCTGTGTCTGTGTGCGATGGCGGTCCCGAGAGGCAGGAGATGGTGACCTTGGGTGTTTGGCAGATCGCCAGGCTTTCAAATATAGTGCAGAGTGGAAACGGACCATTTGGTTCTTTGGGCCTGGTCTCTTTTCGAATAGTGCCCTAAGATTTTTAACATTCATCACAACTTGTAGTTCATTTGATTGTCTTATCTGAAGGATAGCACTTCTGGCAACACAGGACTTTGTCAGGCTACACTGACTATAAACCGAGTCCTGACTTGGGACCTTCTGACTCGGAATTGAGAGCGCTACGAACTGAGCCAGGTTGAACCATAGGCCCCTTCTTGCACTCCACAGTTTCAATGGTGGTTTGACTGTGTAAATAGAGCACTGCTGCTCCGACTGGTTGCCTGTCCTGGATAAGCTCTAACCTTCTCTGGTTGAATGTCAACAGAAGACTCTTCTCATCTTGGGCAATGACAGCATCAGTCCACATGGATGCACGCCCCACCTCACGGAGCGAGTTCGACTCTGGACCGTTATTTAAATCCCACATCCGTGCTCTGACCCACTCAGCTTTTCTGCATCTCCGTAATATTGCCCGCCTTTACCACAACGTTTTCTCTCATGCCACTGAGGCCAAAATCCGAGTTTATCGCCTACACATAAAGTCGGTTAATTTCATAGTAAATCCTGTGAAGTGCTTTGAGACCACCTTCCGACACGATAAGGCATTATACCAAATACAAGGATGAGGATTATTATTGTTACGTTCAAACATTTCCTCAAATAAAATTGGTCACTCACTTAATGATATTGCCATGTGTAAATTGGCTGCCAGGTTCGTCAACAAAAACACCAAGTTCCTCCACTTTATAGTGTATCTTGTGAAACATTTTGTGAAGTCCTCCAAATGGTGAAAGGCGCTATGCCAAATGTAAGGATTATTATTATTATTGAACCAAAACATTAATGTTACTTCTCTCTTCAGGTGTTAAAATGTTTCATTACCCAATAGGGTGTAACTTTTCAGTATTTTTTCTCTTCCTGTTTTTTTTCAATCAACACTAACATGATTTTTTTTTTGCAATCATGCAGGTGAATACAAGAAAGATGAACTCCTTGAAGCAGCTAGGTATGTGGTACATTTCTGCACAATGTATGATAAAAACTATGGCAGAATTGGATTTTAATGTTTGTGATGCTTGGTTTCACTGGTTATATCTGTTTTTTCAGTCCAATAGAAAAATGAACGAAGGCAATAATATGTTCTCTTTTTTCCCCATTTTTTAGTTCTAGCCTGAAAAGTGATGATCTGTAAATTACATGTGTGAGTACAGTAGAACCTCACTAATCCGATCACTCAAGGAACTGGGTAAAAGTGACCTTGGTGAGGTGACCTGATTACTGAACAGGTCGGGTGATTCAGGTCACTGATGTAATGTTAATGGCATTGGTAATGAGAAAAAGGTGATGAACATTCAACAATCATACTTTGCAATCTCATTAAAATAAAGGCATTGTCGCATTTAAAACAAAAGCTGTCATGTATTCAGTTTACCTTTTGAGAATGCATCCAAATTGTGTTCTGGCAATGCCATAGATCACAGCTAACTGTGACTGTTGCGCTTGCTGTTTTTGATTAAGTCCATTCTCTCACACAAGGACAGCTCCTTCCATGGTGGCGTGTCTACAACACTTGTCAACAGTCACTTAATCAAAACAAACAATGTTCACACAAACCATGTGCTCTGAATACAGCACTTACCAAGAATTGGCCGCAGGAGCTCAGGTTAGGCCGCGGGCGCCGGGTAAAGTAGATTTTCAGCTCGCGCCGCTTCCGCAATCCCAACACTCCCCGCGCCATGTATCCACGACCAGAGCCCAATCCATCCACAGTACCAGCGTCGAGGATACAGCGTGAGAAGCCCGAGGCCTAACGCACTCTGTACAGATTAGTAGCGGAGGAGGGTGTTTGTACTGTGTTTGAAGCAGAAGAGGGAGCTGTAGTGGCCACAATCAATGACCGTTGTCCTGAATAGTGAGATCTCTGGTTTACTGAAGCAGACAGACTATCTTTTAATATTGACAATGAAAGAGACTGAAAATGTGCGCACAATTGTGAGGTGGCTGGACTACTGAGGTGACTGCAAACCGGCTGTAGTTATGGTCACATGTTTCAGCTGTATTTGTTTTTCTGTTCATAATGCATTACTTTCACATTTCCTGATGTTTAATATACCAGCTGAGCACTAATTAGAACATTTACCATGCGATGCATGATCCTTTGTGAGACGGCTGAAGGGTTTAATGGTGATTATTTATGTGGGGGGAGAGAGAAGATTTTGAAAAGTTCCAAGACTCAGGTGTATATGGCAGTGCTCAAATTGTGTCCGGTGTTTAGAACTTTAGAACTATTGTAAGTGGAGTAGATTTGCCGATAACCCAATTTTTATACTTTATCTTCTTGCTCGCCAAATGCAAATGCAAGGAAGACGGACTGTTTTAGTATAACACAAGACTCCATGTGAAATGTGTGAAATATGAAATGAGAGGAGGTGGAAGAGAGGAGATGTAAAGCTTGGAGTAAATGCTATTTCCCCCTGTCATGCGCTTTCTGGTTTTTCTCCCCCCCCCCCCACCCTTTTTCTGGTATAAATCTTCCTAGTATTGTTTTTCACTAAGAAAACTGGCTGAAAATCTGCTTGTGGGGGAAACCACCAGTGCTGTCTGTCTTGTCAGCTTTTCAGATGCATATGGTAATAATCCAGAGGGTTTCCAACAGGGTGTGAAGGGTGCAAAATGCCACTGATGACTCGTTCCAGTACTCATATTTCTTACCCGGTGTCTCTCCAAAGTGCTGCAAGATGTTATCCTATGTGAAAGGTGCTATATGAGTGCATGATGTTAATAGTTAAGATACAAAAGCTAGGAGCTAAGGTCCATCGTACAATTCACCTTCTAGATTGAAACTCAAAATGAGCAAAAGCTAACCATCACTTCCAGAAACAGAACTGTTTCCCAAAAGCTGTGGGAAATCTGTGACCTGCTGAGTAACCCCATTGCATTTTTGTGCTTCACTGTGTAATGTGAGCATACATGGGAAAAGGGAAAAAAGGAGAGAAGTTAGTAGCTTAGTGGTTAGCGGGCTTGTCTCGCAACCGAGAGGACCCATGTTCGAATCCTAGATAGGTGAACCTTAGGCAAATTTCCTTACTCCACATGCCTCTGGTTAACTAGCAGTAAGTAGGATCCAGATTGTTAATTGATTGGCAGATTGTTTTCCGGTAGCAATAATCCCTCAAAAAATAAGGCTTAGTGATTAGGGCACCTTGTAAGCGAGAGGACCTGGGTTTGATTCTTGGGCAGGGCAAAACATTGGGCAAATTTTCCTACTCTACACAACTCTGGTTACCCACCAGTAATTAGGAGCCCGGTTGTCAGCCGATTGGCGGATCGCTTTTACAGAGGGAATAATCGCTTCAAAAATAAATAAATAATAATTTGGTCATTCAATACATGGCTGTTTTGCACAGTTGTTGTGCACAATTGGCTGCTGCTTTTAGCCCACAAATTACAAGGTCAATTTACATTACAATATATTCTGTGAAGTGCTTTGAGACATCGCAACAAAATAATAAAGTGCTATATCAAATGCATGGATTATTATTATCATAACAGCAAAAAAAACTACCAAGCCAGAAAATAAGATGCTATTTTTCCCTTAGCAGTTGTTGCTACTGTTTTGCTGTGGGTAGTTCTGGTGGAAATATTCCCTGCTAACTATTGCATTTTTCTTTGGGGGTGCAGACATCTAAATTAAAATGTTACTTTTCACTCAATTGATGTATTTGGCTGCATGTGAAGTTTGTTAACAGGTATAACTAACCAAATGGCTGCCGTGGTTTGCCCACAAAATACAGTCAATCCACTTTACAATATATTCTGTGAAGCGCTTTGAGTTATCTCAATGACGTGATCAGGCGCCACATCAAATGCAACTTATTATTAATATGTTATGATTCTGGAAGGGAAACGCAAAAATGTGGCTTATGCAGCCCGCGAACGTTTCTCAAATGGGGCATCCAGCCAAAAGGTTGGACCACCCTGACATAATTGATCTGATAATGCAATACATTTTGAGCACGTACATGTAGGACTTTTTGGATAGTTTTATCTTGAATCAACTGTTGCCAAATACCAGGAGTTGAGGCCAGGAGTTGTGCCTGTATATAAGGCAACTTTCTTCACAGTTTTGTTTTTCTTTCTGTTCTGGTACCTTTATTTAAATAGTGACATTTGATATTTAGATAATGGCAATCACAGAATCTCTGTGCATGCAGGAACTGTGCTACGTCATCCTGTTGCTTAGCAATGACATTATGTGGAAAGGAAAGTTGAGACTGACGAATATACAACTGATCCTTCAAACAAAGAGGTTCAACTGTAGTGATTCAAGCAAACGTGAAAAGCGCTATATCAAATGCAAGGATTATTATTATTAAGTTGGTACTTTTCCTTGCCATCAACCCACAACAGTTGCAGATCTGTTGTAGAAAAATGGTATTCATACCATAGAGAAATCAGTAAACTGGCACTATTAGTACAGTGCTATAGACAATTATTTGAGACAGTGAAGGTAACTGGTGCATTGATTGTAGAGCTCACATTTATGCGATAAGTGGTGTTCTGAGCTTAAGGTATATGTTGGATTAGGACAAATAGGGCTTTGTTCTCCATCGGGCATGTTTTATACATATAACAGTGAGAGATTGATTTTAACCCTGAGTGCCCAAAAAAGAATAATATTAATTTTTAAGCCCTCACCAAACGAAATGGTCAGGAATTGAATAGACACTATAGCCAGTTAAGGTCAAGGCCTCAAATTTTTCATTCTTAATTGGGAGCTGTGACTTGTGTTCTTGTGGAAGCACTGGGAGCAATATTTGGATTCTGGAAAAAATAACAGTATCATTGGCATTATTTTCCTCTTCATTCTACTTGGGTTTGTGCCTGCAACTTTCTGTTCCCACACTCACTTCTGAGTCTCCCTATTGCATTGTTTATTGGCTACGGTAAGTAGGAGCGGAGGCTCTCACAGTTCTCAGCAGCATTTTTCTGTGAGAGCTGGAATGAGCAATAGTTACAAATTTTGAGGGAAGACTATAATGGACATCAAACATGAAAGGGGAATTCTGAATCAGAAATGCAATGTGGTTAGGACTTGAATGCTGATTGGGTCAGAAGAAGGTGCTAAGATCTGATTCAAGCTGGGTGTAATATTGAATAAATCATCACAGTTAAAGAAACAAAAGCTAACAAGGAAAAAATGGCTTGCTGTCCTGACTGCTTTGCCACCGTCCTTTAAATTTCACAAAACTTGACTGTATATTTTGTGGCGAAACACGGCAGACAATTGCGCACAGCAGTGTAATAATTCCTTCAAAAAAAAATTGGTCACTCAATCCACAACTGTTTGTCGGACCCTGCTGTGCTCAATTGGCTGTTGCGTTTCGCCCACAAAATATAGTCAATTCACTTTACAGTACATTCTGTGAAGGCCTTTGAGACGTTTTGAAGTCTTGATAAGGCGTTATATCAAATTCAAGGATTATTATTTTAAACCTTAACAGATGGCTTATCAGTCTCATTTCTTTAAAATAGCTTTAAAAACTAAATTTTGTATTGCTGTTTCCGTAGTCTTTACTATCAATTTGTTTTATCTCCAGGAGTGGTAATGAAGAAAAACTCATGGCATTGCTTACTCCACTAAACGTGAACTGTCATGCAAGTGATGGAAGAAAGGTAAGAATATGCATGTTTTTCAGCTATAATTACTTAAAACTGAAATGCAAGGGAAGAAAGCAAATGCAAATCTTAATTAATGGTTGACTCGTTATTTAAATTAAAAGTTTGTTCTGCTATTTGATCAGGCTTTTAACAACATGTAGATCTATTGTAGAAAAATAGCATTCATGCCCTGGAGAAATCAGTAAACTGGCACTGTTAGTACTGTGCTTTAGGCAATTATTTGAGTAAATTGTCAAAAATGCTTTTCCTTTCTCCCTCAAAAAGAGGGATGGACTATTTCAATTTAGTAATGATTCGCTATCCTTACAATAAACATCTCTGCTACTTACAGTAAGAAGATTTACATCAAACAACATAATCCATTCTGAGCATTTTGAAAATTGATTTATCACATGACATACAAAAGTCTAAATGTCACTTCTTGAAAAAATGATGATTTGCATGAGGTTCATTTAGAGTAGTGCATTATTGACATGTCAATTTCTAAGATGAATATCCTAACCACCATTCATTGTTAGAAAAAGCTCCATCTATGATAGATGAAGATTAGGAATACAAATGAAGATCCAATCCCACTAAGTTCCATTATTGATAGTAGCATTGATGTTGGCTGTGGATACAGTACCCCAGATTGCCCTGTCTGAGGAATATGAAAAAGCAAGGGGAGAGAGAAAAGACTATTTAGCCTATCACCCTTGCTCTTTCCACAGACTGACCATTATCGGGGCCTAGCTAGGTCATGTGAGACAGTGTCCTGCAGAAATACTCCCAGATCCTAAAGCAAAACTGCAGAATGTTTAGCCATATGAATACCTTCCTACCCTTTGACCATTTATTTCACTAATCTCTATCATTACGTCCAATGATGTATTTGAGCATCTTAGTTTATACTATTCATTTAACTTCTTATTTTTTAAATTGTTGATTAAAACTACATTTTTCAAGTAAAGTCTAGGGTGAAAGGAGAGTATTGATTAATTTCTAATCTCAAGAATCTTTTCATTTTTAATTTATCCTCTGGTTCTGTGGTGACTGTCCAGTTAAATAGCCTACTTACATCTACATCATCTATGCCTACAAACCCCTCAATCATTTCTCCAATGACTAGTTGATCTCTGCTAGTTTCTAATCAGGAATTAGTACCCTCATTACTATGATCATCCTTGTCTCTTTTCCAATGCATTAAGGTCCCTTCCAACGGTTTACATGCATTATTCCAAATATAACCTGACCAGTAATCTATAAAACATTGGATTTGCATATTAATGCCCTTGAGATATACTCTCATTGATTTTGTTGGTGATGACTTCATGATGACTCAACATTTTGAGTGATTGATCAATAACTACATCCATAGTTTCCTTTTTCTTCTCCTTTTACCTAAAGCACTTAATTATAGCACATATTTGATGATTACTGTTTCAAAATAATATGTATTACTTTACAGTTATAACAAGCTTTTACACCTGAGCATATCTACTTCATTTTTCTAGTGCCCTTTGAATACATTTATTGTCATTGCATTTGGCAGATCGATAACATCAGTAAATTTTGTAACATTTGATGTAGACTCTTTCAAATTGTTAGTGATTTGTGTGAATAGCAGGGGAACCAGAACAGAAATCCGTAGAGGTCTCCTGGTGTCTTCCCTTTTTCCCTGCAGAACTTGTGAAATGAGGAGACAAAAACAAATTAAAGGTTTTTAAAAAAATGTAAATACTACTTTTTTAAAAATGTAGTTGTTCCCCTAAAATTGAAGATGTTTGCAGCAAATGTTACTACTTTTGACTGGAACTTTCTATAACGTAAGCAGATTTGAAGTTAATATTACTGCAGTTTCATTTCAAGATTACAATACATAAATTTCAGAAAATCAATCATTCATTGTGTTAGAATCTACCTGTTCTGATAACTATGGGTCAGCTTGGCTGACGTATATTTCATTTATAAAGTGCTTGCTGAATATGTTGTGTTGCTGTAATATTTTCAGTTGTATTTCATGCACATAACAAAAATTGTGCTGTGTAAGCTTGTCCGCTTTGGAGAAATAATACAAGAATTTAAACATAGTGTAATAAACAGTACAAAGTTAAATCAAACTACTTTGCACAATTTCTTTCTGCTTTGATCGATGCTGCCATTTATCTGATGAATAAACCTGGTAATATGGTTCTGAAGCTTGTATTTTCTGTCAAGTCTTTCACCATAAGTTTCGGCAGGTGGTTGCATGCCACATATTACACGATTACTTAGAGAAGATGTTTTTATTTTGTGCTAATTACTGATGTTATACATCTTTTATTTTACTATCGCGAATGTTTTTGGCAAAACCTAAGCTCAAATTTGCATATAGTCGTTCCTTTTACTAAATAAGCATTTTTTTTCATTTTTAACATTGCAGACTGCAGAACCTCACCCCATCAGTCTACGATGTAGAAATGGAAATATGGTACACTTCTTATGCATTACGGTTGTTTACTGGTATTGCAGTGTCAAATCTATCGTCTGTGACTTGTTTAATTTTATATCGAAACGTAATGGATGTGGCTACAAGAGTAAATGGCTGTTTGCATAGTTTAAGAATTGCAACTTGCCATGTTGCCAGTCCGTTTCTTCCCTTCGTTCTTTCCTTTCTACTCTTGTCTCTTTCCTCTTGCAAAATTTCTCCTGATTTCTGCCAGCAATGCTAAATTTGCAGGGAATATTGACCAATATGTTTGTAAATCAGGCTGCTACTTTAAAAAACAGTATGTTGCTGATATTGCACTGAAGTAACATGATTTCCTAACAAAATATCTTTAGATTTCTGTTATGTATAAAACATTGAATTTCAAGATTCAGGTGACTAAAGCAAAGCTATCTATGAATTCAGTAAAAATGTAAATGGATGCTCAAATAATAGTCAAACTAATACAATTCCAAATACTAAGAGAGGTAATTACTAATTGAGGCTAATTTAATGAGGCTAATTTAACAATAAGCACGTCTTTGTCTTCTGACTCCATGCTGGTGTTTGGTGAAGAGAGATGGCACAGAATCATCAAGGAGTACAGTTTTTAAAACTATCTTTCCCTGTCCACTTCCACTTTCTTTCTCTTTATATCTTTTAAATACAAATTAATAAAGAATCCTTAATAGATTGAAGTTACTAGTAATATTGTGGCCTTTCAGACTACATTGCTTTTTTTCTTTTGGTGCACTTTGCAGGTGCTTCTATAGCTTTAGGTTATCAAATAGAAGTTTAGAAATTGGGATCTAGAAGTAGCAAGGCCTCTATTTTTGTGTGCAGCACAATGTACAGTGCTGAATGGAGAACATAAAACGGTTTTCAATAAAAGTTCTCTATCTTCAATGGCAACCACTAATTGCTTTCAAAAGAGCAAACAACTTCCAGTCATAGAAATATAATTGTTAAAGCATTGGTAGTTTAGCTTTAGAAATCTTAGTGTTTGTGAATCTCTTTGTTTCTCTGTGAGAGAAACAAAGTTCAACTTTTCAATGTGTTTCAATTACCAACAATGCTCCAACCAAAAGAATGAATAAGCCATAGCCAAACCAATTAGTACTTATAGTACAAAATACTGATCTAGTATGTGAAGCATGAAGTATTCACATCTTTATTTGCTGCTTATAAATCTCCTGTGACAAAGAATCAAAAGATAGATGTGCTGTTGAAAATCAAAGGCTTATTATCTGGGTCAGAATGGTGGACTCGGTTTCCTTTATAGCCATAACCACTGCTTGCTTTTTTNCTAATCTTTGGCAACTAATCAGAATTACTGCATGGAGCCTCATTTGAGTATTGATAAAGGAATTTTAAAGGAGAGAAAAAAANGCCATATAAAATACATTGCTAAATTTGCATTTTGTTGGCTGATCTGGAACAAAATTGATAGAAGCTATGAAAAACTCCATGGGTGAGAACATATTTCCCTTGAAGAGGTGCATAAGACATATTTTCCTTGAAGAGGTGCACTCCCTGCTCCTGCAGAACATCGAGCCAGTACCAGGAATGTCTCTCGAACAGTTTAGTGAACAACTTAGCTACATTGGTGCAAATAGGTTGTCACCATCATCCAGTCTAAAGCTGTCAAATTGAGACTCTTCTTGGAGCTGTAAAGCTTTGTGAATAGTTGCTTGGAGTCTACATGCCAACCATAACTGCCAGATGTTGGAATTATAGCAAAGGAGGAAGCTAATTGGTCCTTTGAGCCTAAACTGATGCTGACTGCTCTTAATCCTAATTCCCTGCTCTGTTCCCTTAATCTTTTATATTCTTCCTAGTAAAATGTTTACGTAATACCTTTTTAAATGTGGTTTTGGTCCATGTTTCAATGGCCACTTGGGCTAATGTGTTCCATAACCTTCTGCATGGAAAAAAAAGTTTTCTTCTAACCTCCCCCTTTTAGTAACAATCTTGACCTTATGCCACCTTGCTGATTTACCAAGCAGCAGGAATAATAACTTATGATCTACCTTCACAATACCCTTCTGAATTTTGAAGCCCTCTTAATTTTCTTTGTTCAGCTGTCCTCGTAACTGCAAGTTCTTATCATTGGTAACAACAGAGTGAACCTAAGTCGTACCCTTTCCATGCCTTTCTGTAATGGGACGTCATAGTGGTTCTGCCCCCCATACCATGTACCACACTTAAGCTTGTTAATTTCTGAGCTATGTTTTCTGAATTTGCTTCAACCCCAATTACTGCATTGATCACCTGTCTGCGCACTGAACAGCAGGTACATCTTTGGAAGTTCCTGAATTACTCAGTTTGTTTTCATTTGGTACGAGACAACTATGTCCGTTTCCAAATGATTAATAAAAATGGCAAGTGATGGAAGTCCCAGTATTTTATCCAATAAATACCACCAACGAAATTTAAGAAATCCATTTGCCCTTGCTCTCTCTACCTTCTACCTTTCAACTATTCCATCAATTTACCTATATTATTAAGTATCTTTTTTGTCAACTACTTACAATAAATATGGAGTAGTTTGGAGTCCTGTAGCTCAGCGGTTAGAGCACTCACCTCGCAAGTGAGAGACCTGGATTTGATTCCCGGCAGGGCGAAACCTTGGGCAAGTTTCCTTACTCCATATGCCTGATAATAATCCTTCAAGAAAAAATAAATAAAAATAATAATTTGGTCACTCAATCCACGACTGTTTGTGGGACACTGCTGTGTGCAATTGGCTGTCAATTCACTTCACAGTATATTCTGTGGAGCGCTTTGAAATGTCTAGAAGACATGAAAAGTACTATATTAAATGTAAGGATTATTATTATATTTTATAATGTTTGTCTTTGTTATAGTTTCTGTATTCATTGTATTGTTACTTTTTCTTTGTGTTTGATCAGCCCTCTTTTTGTTTCATATTAACATCGCCCACGATTTTAACTGCCAATTTCTCCTGATGTGGATACCTTATAAAATGCTTTCTGAAGAAAATACAAACATGCAACTTCAATTACATCTCTTCCCATCAACACATCTTTGATGCCCTGAAAAATAAATGAGTAAAACTGATCCTCTTGGATCAATTCCTGATCCATTTTAAGGATTTACAAATTCCATCCCCAATTATGGTCTTGAAGTTCACCACAATTGAGATAAGACTAATTGAACTGTAATTCCATGTTTAATCCCTTTTTGAACATTTATCACCCTCTAGTCCTTTGATACAATAATCTTTTCATCTTCATTTTTTTTAAAAAAAGGATAGTGGCCAATCTCCTCAATTGTCTTTCAGTATCCTGGGCCGCTTACTATCTCTTGGTTTTACTTTTAAGCTCTTTGGCTACTTTTTTGTAGTTTGCATTGCAATCTTTAGCTGCAGTTTGTTAACTTTCATGACTTGCTCTGATTGTCCTACACCAGATTTCACCTTCCTGTGTATCAAGCAACTCTTAAGAGAAGGGAGTTTCTCTTTGTGCCCTGGCCAACAATCCCCCAAATAAAATTAATCATTCTCTTCAAGGCTGCTTTTGGGATATTGCTGTGCACAAATTAGTTGTTGAGTTCGCCAACAAAACACAGTCACCGCACTCTACATTATTATCCCGTGAAGCACTTTAGGATGTCCTCTGGGAGGTATACCAAATTGACGGAATATTATTATCTCCCATTCTTTATTATTTTAGATTGATTGCTTTGGCTCTCAAATGATCCCATCTAATTTATAATAACCGCTTACTTTATAAGTGTTTGTAACATTATAACAACCTGTGCTATTTTTAATGTTGATTACCAATCTTTTTTCATTCCATTTAGGCTTTCTAACTTCCTATTTGCTTCTCTAAATGTTTTACATTTTTCATTATTTTCTTATGTATAATCAACTATCTCTCAAATGTTACCTTTGTAAACTAATTTTTTTCTGTTTTCCCCATTTAATAATTAGACCTTTAATGTACCCATTTAGTCTTAGTAGCATACATTTAACTCGTCCCTTACCCATCTCATTTAAATATCTCCAATTTCAAGTATGCAGTTTCATTCGGTATCTTTCTAACCAGGTTATGTAGGCTAAGTCTCCTTCATCCCTTTGAAATCTGCTTTCTTGATCTATGTTTTTATCTTATCTCACCATGAATGTTGTAGGTTATGATCATTATTTTTATTCTATCCTTTTCAAGCAAACCAATGTAGTTGGTTTGATTGTTCAGCAGTAGATTAAGAATTGAGACTTTGCTTGTGAAAATAATATTTGTGCTAGATGTTGGAGGTAAGCAGGGGTAGCTAATATGAACACACAATTGCTTTGCGTAAATAGAACGCTCTAATTTTTCCAATTTACTGATGACTGTGGTGTGGTTTGCACATTATGGGTATAATTTCACGGATTCATAAATCATGCAGCTTCAACTTTGCTTTTAATCAATTACCTTTAAAATTTGCTTAATCATTGGCTAAAAGCACTGGAATGTTATGCAAGTCCTGAGACTTTAAAATGAATATTGAGCAATCCCTTCAGTAATTTGAAGAAATCAATTTCAAGCAGATCAGTTCAGCAACAGTAACTTGTATTCTTAATAAGTATTAACAAAACACGATGTGGAAGATATCACATGAAAACGACATGATATCTTCATGAATTGCTGATTATGCGTTTTTTAAGAACTTGAGTTGAATGATTTCCTTTCTGGATTTAAAAATGGTGAGGTCGAAGTTCATCAATGCATCCAATTTTCTTTAGATACTTTCCAAGCTAGTACTTCAAATACACTCTTCATTCAACTAAGAGAATGGAAACTTTTTAAAACAATTGTTGGAATATAGAAACAGGAGTCATAATAATAATAATCCTTGCATTTGATATAGCGCTTTTCACGTCTTCTAGACGTCCCAAAGCGCTTCACAGAATATACTGTAAAGTGAATTGACTGTATATTTGTGGGCGAACGCGGCAGCCAATTGCGCATAGCAATGTCGCACAAACAGTCATGGAT